CCTTTGACGAGTGCAGTTTCTGTAAGCATAAAGGTCATTGGAAGGTTTAGTGTTCTAAGTTGAGACAGTCAAATCAATTACAGCAGCAATCTCAAGCTTGGAAGCCTGGCAACCAATCACGATCTAATGCTCATAGACCACCACAATCTAATACTGCAGCAGTAGCTTCATCAGGTCTTATCACTGATCCTAGTACTTTGGCTGAGCAATTTCAGAAGTTTCTCTTCTTACAGCCTCAAGCTATGTCTGCTTCTTCCATAGGTCAGTTGCCTCATAGTTCTTCAGGTATGTCACATTCTGTATGGGTCTTGGATTATGGTGCTTCACATCATATGTCTCCAGATTCTTCGTCTTTTGCTTCTGTGTGCCCTTCGTCCTCTATTGCTATCATGACTGCTGATGGCACACCTATGCCATTAGCAGGTGTTGGTTCTGTTGTCACACCTGACTTATCCCTCCCTAATGTTTATCATATTCCGAAACTCACATTAAATCTTGCTTCTGTTGGTCAGTTATGTGATTCTGGCAATTTAGTCACATTTTCCTCTTCTTCTTGTTATGTGCAGGGTCTGCAGTCTCAGAAGCTGATTGGGACAGGCCGTAGGAAGGGTGGACTATATATTTTGGATGAGCTAAAAGTGCCAGTTGCTACTGCCGCTACTAGTGTTGATTTGTCTTCATTTCGTTTGAGTCCTTCTTCTTCTAGTTTTTATTTATGGCATTCTCATCTAGGTCATGTTTCGTCATCTCGTTTGAGATTTTTAGCTTCTACAGGAGCTTTAGGAAATTTACACCCTTGTGATATTTCTGATTGTAGTGGATGCAAACTGGCAAAATTTTCAGCTTTACCTTTTAATCGAAGTATTTCTGTTTCTTCTTCTCCATTTGATTTGATTCATTCTGATATATGGGGGCCTTCTACTGTTGCCACAAAAGGAGGGTATCGATATTATGTTTCTTTTATTGATGATCACACTCGTTATTGTTGGGTTTATTTAATGAAACATCGTTCTGAATTTTTTGAGATATACTTAGCCTTTCGTGCTCTTGTTAAAACTCAACATTCTGTTGTTATCAAATGTTTTAGGTGTGATTTGGGTGGGGAATACACTTCTAATAAATTTTGTGAGCTGCTTGCTTTAGATGGAACTATTTACCAAATTTCATGTACAAATACTCCTGAGCAAAATGGTGTTGTTGAAAGAAAACAATGGCACATTGTTGAAACTGCTCGTTCTCTCTTGTTGTCTGCATCTGTCCCTAGTGTGTTTTGGGGTGAAGCTGTTCTTACTGCTATACGTTTGATTAATACAATTCCATCTTCTCATATTTCAGGGTTTTCTCCTTTCGAAAAGTTGTATGGGTATACCCCTGATTATTCTCTCTTTAGAGTTTTTGGTTGTACTTATTTCGTTCTTCGTCCTCATGTAGAACGCAACAAGTTGTCATCTCGATCTGCAATTTGTGTCTTTCTTGGTTATGGTGAAGGTAAAAAGGGGTATCGTTGTTTTGATCCAATAACTCAGAAACTTTATGTGTCTCGTCATGTTGTTTTTCTCGAGCATATACCTTTCTTTTCTATTCCATCCACTACTCATAGTCTGACTAGATCTGATCTTATTCGTATAGATCCTTTTTCTGACAATCCTGATAGTTTGTCTTCTCAGGAGCCTACTACTTCAAATGTCCATTCTCATGTTCCTACGCCGTCATCTTTACAACCAACTCGTACTAATCATTCCGCAGGTACTGACACTTTACTCTCCGGCACACCTAAAGCGTCCTCTTCTCCTACGGTCCCTCAAGCTCCGTCTGAGATTGTGGATCCGCCTCTACGTCAATCCATACGCATTTGTAAGTCTACAAAGTTACCAGATTTTGCTTATTCTTGTTATTCTTCATCATTTTCTACCTTTTTAGCTTCTATTCATTGTCTCTCTGAGCCATCTTCCTATAAAGAGGCAATTCTTGATCCTCTTTGGCAGCAAGCTATGAATGAGAAACTTTCTGCTTTGCATAAGACTGGTACTTGGAATTTGGTTCCTTTACCTTCTGGTAAGAGTGTTGTTGGTTTTCGTTGGGTGTATAAGATCAAGACTAATTCTGATGGGTCAATTGAGCGATACAAAGCTAGGTTGGTTGCAAAGGAATACTCTCAACAGTATGGTATGGATTATGAGGAGACATTTGCTCCTGTTGCAAAAATGACTACTATTCGTATTCTTATTGCAGTAGCTTCAGTTCGTCAGTGGCGTATCTCTCAACTTGATGTTAAAAATGCCTTCCTGAATGGAGATCTTCAAGAAGAGGTTTATATGGCACCCCCTCCTGGTGTTTCACATGATTCTGAGTATGTTTGCAAGCTCAAGAAAGCATTGTATGGTCTCAAACAAGCACCTCGTGCTTGGTTTGAGAAATTTTCTGTTGTGATCTCTTCCCTTGGATTTGCTTCTATTAGTCATGATTCTACTCTTTTTGTTAAGAGCACTGATGCAGGTCGTATCATTCTATCTTGATATGTTGATGACATGATTATTACTGGTGATGATATTGATAGTATTTCAGTTTTGAAGACAGAGTTAGCTAGACAGTTTGAAATGAAAGATTTAGGTTCTCTACGATATTTCTTGGGTATTGAGGTAGCCTTCTCACCCAGAGGTTATCTTCTTTCTCAGTCGAAATATGTTGCAGATATTCTTGAGCGGGCAAGACTTACTGATAATAAGATTGTTGATACTCCAATTGAGGTTAACGCGAAGTATTCTTCTTCTGACGGTTTACCTTTGTCAGATCCTACTTTATACCGTACTATTGTTGGGAGCTTGGTATATCTCACTATTACTCGTCCAGATATTGCATATGTTGTTCATATTGTTAGTCAGTTTGTTGCTTCTCCCACTACAATTCATTGGGCAGCTGTTCTTCGCATTTTGCGATATCTTCGGGGTACAGTCTTTTAGAGTCTGTTACTTCCATCCACCTCCTCCTTGGAGCTGCGTGCATACTCTGATGCTGATCATGGCAGTGATCCCACAGATCGCAAGTCTGTTACTGGTTTCTGTATCTTTTTGGGTGATTCTCTTATTTCTTGGAAAAGCAAGAAACAATCTATTGTTTCTCAATCTTCCACCGAAGCAGAGTATCGTGCTATGGCATCTACTAATAAAGAGATTGTTTGGTTACGTTGGTTACTTGCAGATATGGGAGTTTTTCTTTCTCATCCCACTCCTATGTATTGCGACAACCAAAGTTCTATTCAGATTGCTCACAACTCGGTTTTTCATGAACGAACTAAGCACATTGAGATCGATTGTCATCTTACTCATCATCATCTCAAGTATGGCACAATTACTTTGCCCTTTGTTTCTTCTTCTTTGCAGCTTGCATATTTTTTTACCAAGTCGCATTCTATTTCTCGTTTTCATTTTCTAGTTGGCAAACTCTCGATGCTTGTAGCTGCCGCATCATGAGTTTGAGGGGAAATATTAAGAAATATAGAATTATTTATTATTTATTAAGGGTAGAATAGTCCTTTTAGTTTCCTTTGTTTAGCCTATATATATTCTCTTTATATTTAGGTTAAACTATCTTTAGCATTCAATTAATTAATGTAGCATCAATGAAACCCTAGCCTCCTCCTTTTTCTTCTTTATATTTCTTTGGATTGTTTAACAAAAATATCATAGTCACATATCAAGTTCAATTACACGTGCTGTACATGTCAAAGTCGCATACATCAATAACTTACGTTCTGAAGACTAGTATATCTTGATTGTATAGAGAAATTTCAATCATGTTTCTTGATTAGAATGAAATTGGGTAAACAAAAAAGTGCATATTTAACATTTTGGGATCATCTTTAAGCCCCAAAGTAAATTATAGTCTATAATCTCGATGAACAACCCTGGCTAATATTTAACATAATCAAATTTAGACGAATGATCTTACTGTTTCAAACAAAGATGAATTTTTCAGAGGCTTCCATAGACGTGAGGGGGGGAAATCTATCTCAACACATACATCGATATATATAATTTATGTTTTCAAACTCGTTAATCTTAATTGTTTAGAGAATTTTGAATCGCGTTTCAGATTAGAATGAAATTGGGTAAGCACAAACTATACGTTATTGATCTTTTAACAAAATTTTACTTAATCAATTTGTCACAATGATGTCGATGAATTGAATTTTTTGTCATAATAGTCACTTCGACACATCCAATATTTCACTAAATTAGTATTTATTTATCAGGAAATTCAAGTCGGTCGTCAATATGTCTGATTGATTACATTATCATAACTGGATCATTTTTTTTTTCTATAATTAATTGTGCTACAAAGAATTACATCATTAGAATATAAGTAAGAACTAAATTTTCGATAACAATATTTAAATAAAAAGGAACTTTTTCCGCTTAAGTAATATATTACAACATCAATCAGGGGCAAATTACTAATTCCATTCCATAAGCAGTATCTAAAATACAACGAATTGTGAAAATAAAAACAATTCAACAATCAAATTTACGTTTATTTTTCTTCTTGTTACAGGTGAGATGGTCATATTGCAGAATTTTCTACAGAAATGACATACTAAAAAGAATTATTCATCTTGTACAAATTACAATCGGGGTTGACAACTCCAGTTGACAATGCACTCACAGGAGGGGAGACTCACGATTTTTTTATTTAACGTGGGCCCCTTCCCATGTGTCTAATTGTCAACCGGGGTTGTCAACCCCGATTATACGCATAGCACAACTGTACTAAAAAATAACTCTTACAGAACTTTTTTCCTTTAATATTGTGAAGATTATTTGATAATTTTAACCCCCTTTGCTCGAGTCTGGGGCCAGCCATGAGAGAGATGGAGACTTTTTTTATCCATACAATAATATAATAGTTCTTCAAGTGAAAAGATACTATTATTTTGGAAGAAAATTTTGTCCAATATTGAAAATAACGAAATTGATCAGTATCAAGAAAACTCAAAACTCGTATGAAATAAATGAAACAAAAGCATATATAAATCGTAAATGTATAAATGACAATCAAACGTAGGCTATCTGTAACTCATGAATAACCATTACAAGATAGTAAATAATGACAAAACAACAACACAAGTATGACTATGACATGATATGATGAAATCATCCTAGAAGATGAAGGGATGAATCCTAAACAAATTCATCAATATAATTGAATGAAATCCAACTATGATTACTTAATAGAAATTTGTAGTTTATGGGGATTTTGGTACTTCTGGCAGAGTGGGTTTAGGAAGCTCAGGTTGTTTAGGTACTTCAAGTTTTGGCAAAGTTGGCATTTCAGGCTTTGGAATTGTTGGAATCTCAGGTTTTGGTAATGTAGGTAACTCTGGCTTAGGCAAAGGAGGCAACTCAGGTATTGGTGGGAGCTCTGGCTTTGGTAGTGTTGGCACCTCGGGTTTTGACACCTCAAGTTTCGGCATTGCAGGCAACTCTGAGTTAGACAATTCGGGTTTAACTGGGAACTCTGGCTTTGGCAATGTTGGTACCTCGGGTTTGGACTCTATAGGTAACTCAGGCTTAGGTGGGAGCTCTGGCTTTGGCAATGTTGGCACCTCGGGTTTTGGAACCGTGGGCAACTCGGGCTTAGGCAATTCGGGTTTTGATGGGAGCTCTGGCTTTGGTAGTGTTGGAAGCTCTGGCTTTGGCAAGGTTGGCATCTCAGGTTTTGGTGGGATCTCTGGTTTTGGCAATGTTGGCACCTCAGGTTTTGGCACCGTGGGCTCCTCGGGCTTAGGCAATTCATGTTCTGGTGGGAGCTCTGGATTAGGTAACTTTGCCACCTCGGGTTTTGACACCTCAAGTTTTGGCATTGTGGGCAACTCTGGCTTAGGTAATTCAGGTTTTGCTGGAAGCTCTGGCTTTGGTAATGTTGGCACCTCGAACTTTGGCACAGTAGGCAACTCAGGCTTAGGCAATTCAGGCTTTGGTGGGAACTCTAGCTTTGGCATCGTTGGCAACTCAGGTTTCGGTGGAAGCTCAGGCTTTGGCAGCGTTGGCACCTCGAGTTTAGGCAATGTAGGCACTTCAGGTTTTGGTGGAAGCTCTGGCTTTGATAGTGTCGGAACCTCAGGCGAGGTCTCCGAAAGTCGTCGTGCTCCAGCTTGAATCGTGTTTCCAAATATAGATAGTAAAGCTATCAGCAAAAACAAGAAAAAAGGGGTGCGCTTATTACAAGCCATTGTTCTGACCAAAGACAAAGTGACTCAATAACACTTGTGTAGCAAATTGTTTCAGTCTCAATCTGATTATACGTAAAACTATATGCTCAAGTTTATATAGACATGAGACGTGGAGAAGCAGCACAAAATTTGGCTGGGTTGGTTGGAAGAAGGGTGTGTTAGTTCAACTTCTCAATGTTTTTCCTTCCAATTTTATGCCTGCCAATTCATATCCTAACCATCTAATTGCCACGTGTAAGTAGGTAGTAATATCCATTTTTGACAGTAAGGAAATTGATACATTCACAAGAAAAAGACAACTGCCATTGACAATCCAGGCAACACGAAACCGGTTGGGGGATTCATTCGACAATAAGGTGGATATGGCGTGTTCCATACTAAATTATTTATTGCAATTTTTATGTGACAAGCACTAATCTATAGAAAATATTATTTACGATAATATATTTATTTTTTCATTTATTGTTGTAATTGATATTGATATTTTTTATAGTGAGAATACCAAATGCTCGAAAGGTTCAAGAATGACATTGATAGGTACTGAATCAAGCTATGCTCAAATTTGGACGATGAGAGGACTTCTAATTGAATCTCGAAGCCTTAGCATCTATTTGGTGAGGATTAAAATTAAATTTTTAGTTGATTTTGATAAAAGTAGATAAAATATGTGGTTAGAAAATTGTTGAAAATCTATAAAATATGTGATTAAATTTAATTATTAACCTTGATTTAGATTAAAATTTAAATTTTAACTTGCACCGAGGTTTAATATAGTTGGGTTTTTTCCGAATTCTTAGACAAACACTTGTTTGTATCATAATGAATTTTAAAGAATTTGTATCAAAATATGTTTAATATAAATTATACAATGTCACCTTTGGGGAATTCGTATTAAAGAAAAATTGGTCAATATCTTGTGTAGATTAAAATTAAATTTTTAGTAAATTTTGATAAAAATTGATAAAAATGAGGTTAAAAAGTTATAAATTACATAAAATATGCATTGAAATTAATTTTAAAATTTTATCAACTTTTAGAACCTTTTGGCCCTATTAATTGAAATTTTAATGGTTGGAATAGTATTTTTTTTTTAAATATGTGGTTAACAAAGAAGAATGATTTTTGAGATTATATATAGAGGGGCGTTTGTTTCTCATTTTTGTAAAAATGATAATGAAAAAAATAGTTGTTATGGGTCCCACACAAGAGATAGAAATTCAAATTTGATGGTTTGATGTGATGGATAACGATCATATTTTTCATTTTAATGTAGAAAGAATGGAAAACAAATAGGGACATAATATTATTTTATTAAAAATGTGTGGTTAACAAGAAAAAAAATTATAATTTTGACATGACCAAAGAATGCTTACTTGAATAGTATTTTTTTTTTTTTAAATGCGTGGTTAACAAAGAATAATAAGTTTTTGAGATTGTATATAATATTATTTTAATAGAAACGTATGGTTAGTAAGAAAAAAGAAAAATTATAATTTCGATATGATCAATGGACGCTTACTTGTGTTGCGGCCACCCGGTTCATTTGTACGGATCCCAAACCAATAAATTTCGCAATAAAACTTTATTTTTCAAAGAGAAAATTACACTTAAGGTCTCTAATCTATTGGAAATGTTTCAAGTTTGTTTTGCTATTTGAGCCCCTAGAGCAACGTTTTACCTTTTCTTTAAGAAAAATATGATTTTATCTTTAGTTCAACTAAGGAAAAAAAAGGGAGAGAAAGAGAGAACAAAACAATAAAAATCGGAGTAATGTTATGTGAACCCATTATTTAATTGATGTTAAATAATAAATAAAAAGAAAGGTAAAATTAAATAACTCGTTTAATTTCACTTATTATTTAATTCTACATTAGTGCCACCTAAACTGGAGTTATGTACCTAGTGGGACTAAATAATATTACTATAAAAATTATTCACCAAGAGTTGGGAGCAACACTAGTTACTAGTTAGGTTACTATTGATTTTTTTTTTTTTTCCGTTTATTTCAACTTTAGAGTAAAGTTATATTTTTAACAAAAAAAATTGAGTTTTAATTAATAATTACTGAAATGGGTGGTAAATTTTTCAATTAAGGACCCAAATGTTACAAAATGAAAGGTTGGGCATTCAGCTTCCAAAATATCACGTTGGGACATGCTACATTTTTAATAGTTGGGAACCCCATCTGTAATTTCTTCTCTCTCTCAAAAGGAGAATGCAAATGCTATGCCTGCGTGGGCAGAACTTCAATCTTGATCCTGATGAACTGAAAAATTCGTCAATAATCTCTATATCAAACCCACTTTTTAAATCTTCGCTACTTTTCGAAACCCCTTTTTTTCCCTCCCAAATTACGATGATGAAAAAAAGAAAATCAAAGAAGAATTCTACTATCGAAAGTAGAAGCAATTGCAGCGGTACTACGATGAGCAATAAATTCTCAGTTTTCGATTTCACGATCGAAGATGAGAGTACCGAGGCCCACGCTGAGAGACTTATGGCAAAATTCAATAATAACACCAATGATAAGTACAATTTCCTCACGTGCTGTAAGTTTCTAGCCCCCCCCCCCCGGGGCCCCCCAAAGTCCTTTTATATATGTGTGTGTGTGTGTGTTTAGGGTGTTACTTATTCTGATGGATGACATTATATATTTAGGAATAGTGAATTTAATACTGATGGTGCAATGTTTGATACATTTTGGTATGTAGTGGATTTTTATCAATATAACGAGGATTGAATACTAATAACGAGGTTGTCTGAGTTTGAGGCTGGTAATGTGTAGGGTTTTAGATCTTATGTATAGCAACAGTGTGAGTATTGTTTTCCTTGTATTGATCGGCTACCTTGATTTTTCAAATATTTTTTTTCTTGATTTTTCATTTCTCGAGGTGATTATATAATGTTCATGAATTCTAAATAGAAAAATGTTAAAATTTTGGTTGGTGGAGGAGATCACACTTTAATCTAGACTTGGAAATTTTTATGACCACTAATTGCCGGTGACCAATTTGCTATCTGTTTACATTGAATACTATGAAGAATAGGAGGCAAGGTCTTTTTCAAAGGAAGACAAGAGGCATTGAGGTTGATCTTCCATTGTCTTGTCGTATGCCAGGATTTTCTAAATTTCTATAGGATTACTAAAATAGAACTTTCGAATGATATAATAAATAGAAACATCGAAGTAAATGCTAGAATAGGGGATTGATGACGACTATGAGTGGTATTTATATATGGAGAGCTAATATACTCCAATCATTTTACACTCCTCACGCTAAAGTGTTGGTCAGTACACCCTTGTGTAAAACTGAAGATCTCAAAAAATAGGTTGATGGCTGATGTTTCTATGTTGCTTTTGATAATGTTGTTTCTTGGGTTTTCCTTCTTTTTTTATGGAGGCCTGGAATTAAATAGGGCTGTAGAATTAGAAAGATTTGCATGGCCCTTATAAGTTTTGTAGAATGCTAGCTGCATCCTTCTTCTTTTAAGAGTTCTTTCGAAGCCCCTTTCTAACACCATTGTTCAAAAAATGATTCGCAGAGAAAAGATATATTTTGACTTTACTGATTTTTGAGTAGATAGAACCAATGGGCGACGCTTGGTTACAATTTCGAATCCATTATTAGATGTTTGCTCTCACTCATACCTGGTAATGCAAGGGAGGCCATCGAAAAGCTATTTCTTGAAATCTCTCTTCTAATTCAAAATTATGGTGTAACGTGTATCCTCGCTTGTTCTGATCATCCTCTTCATCATAAATGATTTGTTTGTCCCGAAATGACCTGGACCAATAGGGTTCTCCCAATTTGTGTCCTATCATATGATCTGTTATATAAATAGGCAAATATTCCTTATTCAGACAAAAAGCTGACAGGTGTTATGGGTAGAATTTTGTTCACATCTTAGATCTAGGAATTTACTCATCTTCCATCACCGTTACTCGCGCATCTTTCCCCTTAGCCATGAAACTCCTTTTGTACAATAAATATGAACCTATTTGTCTCTCATGGGGTAACCGAGTTGATGGAGTAGGTGAACGCAGAGGTCTTTGATCACGAGTTCGATTCTCCCCACCAATACTTTCTCGGTCGAGCCTATTGCATCGGGCTTGCTTAGTGCGGTTTACCTGACTGACGTAGTTTGCAAGCTATTGCGTCAGCTCGAGGATTTACCTCGTGTGCACCTGAAGGATAGCGGCTGCGGGTTCTCCCGTCATCAAAAAAATAAAAAAAAATAAAAAAAAAATATGAACCTATCTTTTTAAGCACTTCAAAAAGTTAAGATTTTGAAGAAGTGCTTTATTTTTATATTCTTCAAACTTATATTTTTTGTTTTGTTGTATCTTGAACTTGTATGATCATGTTGGCGTAGAATTCTAATTTCTTATTTTTTTTTTTAAAAATATATATATTTTTGTAGTTGCAAAAGGTTCCAAGACTCAACAAAATGATTATGGAAATAAATTATTAGTCATCGATGTTGATGACAGTCTTGCAGACGACAGAAGCATTCAGTTGGATGGCACTCTATCATCTAGTTCTTCAGACTATATACTATCGGCTACTTCTCCAGAACAACTTGATTTCAAATGTTATTCTGATGGTGCAAAATCCTGTTCACCGAGAGCCAGACAACCTGGAGACAGCCTAACTGATAAGAAGCGTACTTGCTTCGACAGTACTCTACCTCAAAGTTTAACTGATGTACCTGACTTCTTAGTTTGTTCTTTCTGCAAGGAATCATAGACCTTTAAATATTCATAATCGATCAATTTTATTTTTCCTGCAGGTTAAGGTACTTGATGTAGATTCTGATGATGATCTAAGAATTGGATTAAGATCGTCTTCTTCCATTGCCAGAGCAGAAAATGAAGGTTTTTTATTTTTTCAGACGTCTTTTCAAGCACGCAAATTTCCTTGGATTTCTTTAATTCCAGAAAACTCTTTAAGGATTGCAGATAGTTTGCTATGTTTCAGGTTCATTAGAAGAACAACCATTTGAGTATGGCGTCAACACAAGTGATATTGTACGCATGTTACCACTACATCATTTGTCAGTA